GTGGGAGGCCGTCAGGGAGGGAGGTTCCTCATGGCTACAGCTGTGGGCTTCTCCCTTCAACCTCACTCCAGGGGGATCTCAGGGTAAGGCTAAGCCCCCCAGCTCTCACTTTGCTACCTGGACTAACAGTAGATGATTAACCTAGCACACGTGGTCATATCACTGACTTAACCATTCTTTGGAGACGCTGGGTGGTACAAATGGTTAACAGGCACAGCTGCTAACTGAAAGGCTGGCAGTTCTAGTCAGAAGGACCTTGGAAGAAAGGCCTGGTGATCTATTTCCGAAATATTAGCCACTGAAAACCCCTATGGAGCACAGTTCTACTCTGACACACATGGGTTCACCATGAGTCGGACTCAGCAGCAACTGGTTTCGGTTAACCTTTCCTCTTCAGACCAAGGACCACTGGCTGTGCGCATCGCTATTCCACTGAGAGGCTGACGGAGGCATACCACTGCCCCCACTCTGGGTCCTGAAATCTTCATTTTACTTGATAATTCACTACAGAGAAGCCCTAGGCTAAACACTTGCAATTTGGGGATTAATTTTTATCATTAACAAAATATCACCATAACGAAATGCAACTGGCGCGGAAATATTTGTTGACTGTGCTCAGCTCCACCAAACCCACTGCCGTAGAGTCCATTCCAACTCACAGTGACCCTACAGAACAGAGCAGAACTGCCCCCATGGGGTTTCCAAGGCTGTAAATCTTTACGGAAGCGGACTGCCACCTCTTTCTCCTGCAGAGAGGCTGATGGGTTCAAACAGCCGACCTTTTGGTTACCAGCTAAGTGCTTAACCACTGCACCACCAAGACTCAGCACCAGGCATTCATTTTTTTTCCTTCCTTTGCTTTGCTTCGCTTCCCTTCTTCCCTCCCTCCCTTCCTCTGATTAGTAACACTCTGTGCTTAGGGAATGTCTTAAAGATGATTACAACACCAAAACTCTTAATATTGCCACGTACACTGTCCAGCTGCTCCCAGCTGACTCGGCATAAAAGCTAAAGAAGGCCTTACCACGGTGGCCTCTGAGATTTGGCCCCTGGCAGCCTCGCAGACTTGGTTTCCAACCTCTCTGCCTCTCCCTTCCCCACCAGCCACGCTGGAATGACTGGCACTACTCCTGGAAAGCGCCAGGCATACGGAACCCTTGCACTGTTCCGTCTGGAATGAGTCCCCAGATACCTGCAAGTCTCACTCCCAAACTTGCTGACTCAGGCCTCTGCTCAAATGTCACCTCATCAGCAGGAGCTTCCTTGATCCGGTCACCACCCTCCCTGCCTTCCTCTGGACCCCTCCTTGCCCTGCGTTTTCTTCACAGCATTAACTACTATATGTTTACGTTCTGTGTCTGTCCTTACTAAACGTGAACTCCTGAGGGCTGGGCTTCTGTCGGTGCCGCTGTTCACTGCTGTATCCCCAGCATCTGGAAAAATGTTTGGCTCACATAAGGCACTCCAGTATCTGCGAAGCGAGTTTATACTACTTTTGTTGGTGGTGTTAGCTGCTGTGGAGTTGATCCCTGGCTCACGGCAACCTGAAGCACAGTGACATCAGACATTTGTGATCCACGGGGTTTTCACGGGCTTAATTTCAGAAGTAGATCCCCAGGCCTTTCTTCCTAGTCTATCTTAGTCTGGAAGCTCCACTGAAACCTGTTCAGCATCATGGCCACATGACACCACTGCCAGATGGGTGGTGGCCGTGCATGAGGGGCACTGGCAGGGAATTCAACCCTGATCTCCTGTCCAGAAGGCGAGAATTCTACAACTGACTCGCCCCTACCCTCTAGTGTTTTTATGCCTTTAAATTCGACAGATTTACTTGTCTACCAGGAGTCCCTGGGTGCCGCCAATGGTGAAGTGCTTGATTAACTAGCCACAAGGTTGGCAGCTCAGAAGACAGGCCTGGCAATCTGCTTTCCAAAGGTCACAGCCGTGGGAACCCTATGAGGCAGTACTACTCTGCATGCATGGGGTCGCCGTGAGTCAGAATCAACCTGACCACAGCTACAACACCAACGACTAACTGACCAGGCATCTACAGATTCTACCCGCATTTTTTTAGAAATCCTAGGAACCATCTCTATTCCATTCGACAAAACTAACTTTAAAACATGAACTAAGACTTCTTTACAAAGCAGAAGCCTTCAGAAATGCATCCTTTGCACACAGGCAGCTTAAGGAACGTGTGTGTCAACAGTGCTGAGAGCAAGCGCTCGAGGTAACCTGAAGAGGAAGCAGAGGATGCCGAAATCTGGTCTGCTGGAAAACTCTGGGCTGCGGCTAGAGGCGAGTCAAGTTTATCATGCCTGAATTACATTCTTATTATTGTTCAAATGAAAAGCAATCACCTGCTTAACTTATAATTCAAAATGTCCAACAATCCCCCACTCCTTGTCTCTCTGGTTGTTTGATTAAGGCTGTTCAGATTCACAGCACACGAAGTGGATCACCCGGGGTTTCTTCTTTCATCGGAATAAAATTTCATCTATTAAAAAAAATGTGCTCGCTGACTGGAGAGGGTATTTAAATCCGCATTTTCCTCCTTTACCCGCCTATTATCACAAAGTGGAACTGCCTAACCAACACTTCTCTGGATCCCACATGGGGGTGGTTTACAGGTTCTCTCACGAACAACTGGATTTCACTGAAAAACAGATCCGAAGAGATCCTGCAATTCAAACTGTGCTTGATTTAATTCGTAATAACACAGCGGCAATAACCTTCCTTATATTCACCAGCATTTATGGTTTTCAAAACTCTCTCAGAAGTATGGTCACATCTGAGCTTCACCACCACCCTATGGCATGGCGGGTCTGCGGGATTCTGTCCACATTACAGTGAAGGACGCAGAGGCCAAGCCACCAGCCCATGAATGCAAGGGACCCCAGCAGACCCCATGTCTTCTGACTCACGGCCCAGGGCTCAGTGACCTTCATATAGTTATCAATGAGTGAAATGACACAGCTTGGGCAAACTTTCTAAATGCCATCAATATCTAAACTGTCATAAATGTCCAGGTAACTGTTATTTAAAAAATTCTGTACTTCAAAGCAATACTTTTCAAAATGTGGTTGCATCTGAATAATTTTCTGACTTTAGTGCACATCCTTAAGACAGTCTCGCATCAAAGTTAGATGTTTTCCAGTGTGACAGTATGAAAAATGGTCTTAATAAAAACATGAGAGGTAAGTTGAAAATACGGATTCAATGGTTTCTTCACAGGTTTTTGAAGGAAGGAACTTTGCTTTTCTCTCTTCTGTGGTGAGAAAGGGCACTGCTAGGCTGTGTGCATACTTTCCAGGGGTTCAATGACTTCTCAGCTGGGCAGTCAGATTTGTCTAAGTGATAAAAACAATTAGGAGCCAGCCACAGCAGTGAAACTGAACTCAAAAGTATTTATGAGGCCGCTGTTATCTGTTCAATGCAAGTGCTGTACAGATTAAAGAAGTTTAAGACTAGATCTTTACCCTAACCGTCCTTTAGAATCTTGCTGATACCAGCATCCAAAGCAAGATATATAATAGGCACTAAACTAGGTAAATGTCACTGGAATTCAGAGAACGGCAAGCTGGAAAGGTCCCAGAATGTTCCCTGGGGTTGGCCAAGTCCTGAAGGATGACTAAATGCGACCTGACAGTTTTCCCAGCAGAAGTGACGGCTTAGCTTAGAAAAGCAAGGGTGGAAAGAAACTCGGCATGACAATTAAAAATAAAAAAGCACATGGCAATGTTTAAGTGGGCTCCTTCAGTGGATCTGCTGGGCGTGCTCATGTCAAGAACTCTGCGACGCCAGGGCAGTCTCCAGAAATCCTGTTTAATAAGAGGGTCTCCAGAGCCTCTTAGCAGAAATGCTGAAGAGGCCTTTTGAGACAGGTGATCCTTTACTTAAACAGAAGAACTAACACCCCAGTTAAAGACGGGGAGATGGCTATAACCTGGAGGTAGGGATCAGGGGCCCACTGCAGGGCCTGGGTGCCTATGTACAGGGAGAAATGCTTGGCCCTCAATAAGACAAAGGATTGCTGATACTCTAGTGCTTTCTGGAAATGACTTTCAAGTTCCTCGACAGTGTTTTAACATTGAGAAAAACAGGTTACCTCTGGGAAGTCTAACCAGAGCTGGACTCGATCAGAGATCAAGTAATCTAGGGTTGTTTGTCCAAACCTTCAAGAAAAAACAAAAAGGCCTTCCCTCGAACTTGGGACTGCCAACGAGAACAGCAGAAGGCCCGACGGTGAAGGCACAAAAGCAGAAGCCCATGCCTGGCAGGCAGCAGGCAATACAGCCCAGCCTCAGCTTCAGTGGGTTTACAGAACAGATCCCCAACAGCAGCGGAGAAGCAAGAAAACTCAACGGCTGCTAGCCGTTTAAGCTTACCTGCAGCTTTTGGCTATTCTGGTGTGTAAAGACCCATAAGGAAATCCTAGGTGAAGCTGGGTGTAGCCAAACACTAATGCAATCTTCATTCAAATCCCATCCCTTGCCCAGGACCAGGGAAAACAAGTTTTACATTTTAAGAAAACACAGTCATTATACATCCATCTACTTCCTTACGGGGGAGCCTGGCCTCTGGGGGAGAGAAGAGTTGGCTGGTCTCCTGGGCATGGTCCCCACTGCCACAAATACCACAGAGCCCACGCTGGTTTCAAGAGGGTAGAGTACGGCAGAGACATGGGTGCAGACATGTCCCATCTTGTTGAGGAGACGCACAGCTCAAAGGAACAGGTGAAAATGATTCAATTCGCCCCAGCCTGTGGCTTGCAGGCCTGTCTGCAGAGGGTGGGCCTGTGAATTTGGAGTACTTGACTCCAGTGCATTTACTTCTTCAGGGAGCAAAACCTTTCCCTTCTCCTGCTCCTCCCGCCATTAACCATCAAATCCTCAATGGAAGGAGAGGCCTGGGGTTATATTTAAATATCTGCTTAGCAAGCCTCCCCTTTCCCACTGACTACAAAAAGTCAACTGCAGTACCATCTCTCCATCACTTACCTTCTAAATCCAGAGTTAGGAAGGACTCCCCACACACCAGTTTGCTTTCAGTCTCATGGGTAAATCCACTGCTTCTATTGAGAAGAAGCTGGAGAACCATCAAGGAATGAGCTCCTTCTTTCTTCCAGGCCTTTCTTACAATGTCTGTGCCCTGTGATGACAAAGTTTTGATTTATTCCCTGAGTGTGTGGACTTTACTGCTTCTCTCCTGCTTGGAGTCCCTTCTGGTGCTGCAAAGTCCTGCCCTCAGTAGGTGAGCACCTGGAGCTGCTCTAAACCCACAATCCCTCAAGGTGGCTTGCAGGCTGAATTTCTACAGCACCTGACACAGGTAATCCAATTACATGAGGATTGTCTAAAACGCCTCCTTTCCTTCCCTGCCCAGATTTAACCCATCGCCGAATCCTAGCGACGACTGAAAAACCAAACCTACTGCCATCGGGTCGATTCCGACTCATGGCGACCCCATGTGTTACAGAGTAGAAAGGTTCCATGGAGTTTTCCTGGCTGTAAACTTTACGGAAGCAGATCGCCAGGCCCTTCTTCAGCGGCACCACTGGGTGGGTTTAAACCACCAACCTGTAGGGTTTGCACCACCCATGGACCTGTCCTAGTAATGTTGTTGTCATCCGCCCTTCAGTGGATTCCGACTCATGGAGACCCCGTGTGTGCAAGGGAGAATTGTTCCACAGTGTTTTTAAGGTGGTGGCCTTTTGGAAGCAGACTGCCAGGCCTGTCTTCTGAAGCACCTGCGTGGGTTCCAACCCCTGACCTTTCAGCTAGTAGTCCAGGGCTTACCTGTCTGGGCCACCCAGGAACTCACTCCGGACGATATCACCACCCAGTGCCTGGTTTATGTGCTCATGATCTCTAACTGCACCACCCTAGGATCCTCCCTCCTCACTGATCTGCCTCTGGCCTTGCTTGCCTCCCATCCACCCACCATGCTGTTGCTGAAGTCAGCTGACTCTAAAAGACTTGATTAAAACATATTCCATGTCTTCCTTTTGCCAATGGTGTGACACTAAGTTCCTGAACAGGACATACTGTGCTCATTTCTGGGACCCCCTTTTCTCCCCTCTCCCCAGATACGCTATATCCTTTCCTAAATTCCTTATTGTTCTCCACAGCGCCTCTGTGCCTCTGGCTATGCTGCCTTTCTTATCTTACACATCAGGCAAACCCTTACTCAGCTTTCATGTCTAGGTTTGAAAGTTGTCTCCTCCAAGAAGCCCCCCGAGACTTCCCCAGGTAGCCTCAGAATCCCTTTTCTCATTTATCTCTACCCAAACGAAAACTAAACCTGTTGCCGTCAAGTCCGTTCTGCTTCATAGTGACCCTAAAGGACAGGGTAGAACTGCCCCAGGGGGTTTCCAAGTATCATAGACTGAATTGTGTCCCCCAAATACATGTGTGTCAATTTGGCTAGACCACAATTCCCAGTATTGTATGATTGTCCAACATTCTGTCATCTGATGTGATCTTATGTGTTGTAAATCCTATCACTATGATGTAAGTGAGATGGATTAGCGGCAGTTATATTGATGAGATCTACAAGATTAGATTGTGTCTTAAGCCAATCTCTTTTGAGACATAAAAAAGAGAAGCGAGCAGGCAGGCAGGGGTACCTCGTACCAGCAAGAAAGCAGTGCCGGGAGCAGAGCACATCCTTTGGACCTGGGTTTCCTGCATGGAGAAGCTCCTAGTCCAAGGGAAAATTGATGACAAGGAACTTCCTCCAGAGCCAACAGAGAGAAAGCCTTCCCCTGGAGCTGACTGCCTGAATTTGGACTGCTAGCCTACTAGAATGTGAGAGAATAAATTTATCTTTGTTAAAGCCATTCACTTGTGGAATTTTGTTAAAGCAGCACTAGATGACCAAGACAGAATCTGGTACCAGGAGAGAGGGGTGCTGCTCTAGCAAATACCTCAAATGTGGAAGCGGCTTTGAAACTGAATGGGTAGAGGACTCAGAAGGAAGTGAAGAGAGCCGCTACACTGGAAATAGCACAGACCACGAGAACCAGCGGTGGCAGAGACTGGTAGCGGCTGAACCAGGAGACCAGTGCCAGACAGTGCTGGAGCCGACCCACAGAGCAAGAGAGCAGAGTGTCTTCCAGCTGAAGTTTACTGGTGGAGTGGGGTGCCTCCAGGCACTTATCGGTGGAGCTACAGAGCTTTGGAAAACTTACCCCAGCAGGGCAGATGTAGGTGTGAGGCCCAAGGGGCAGAGAGGCCAAGGAACCAGGAAGCAAAAGCTGACAGGACAAGGAACGCAGGACAAGGAACACAGGAAGCTGACCTGCCTCAGTCTCAAAGGGTATGGCCACAACCTCTGGGGTCTCAAAGGGTGGAGCCATGGCCTCTGGTGTTTCTAAGGGTGGAGTCGCCACTCAGATGGACTAGGAGAATGGTGAGCCTAAAGTTGAGGGAGCAGAGTTGCTGTTCCAGTGGGCCTGGAAGGCAGAGCTAAAGCCCAGGGCCAAGGGAATGTCGTGAAGAATCCGGAGAGTGTGGCCAATACCTAGAGTCTGCAGGGCAGGGCCATTGTGTAAATGGTCTCAGAGAACAGAGGATTATTTTCAAAGCCTTGAGGGCTAATGTAATGTGTTCTGCTGACTTGCTTGGTGCCTGTTGTCCCTTCTTTCCCTACATCTTCTCCCATTTGTAATAGAAATGTCTAGCTTGTGCCTGTTCTACCATCATACTTTGGAAGTAGATAACTTGTATTCTAGATTTCACAGATGAAGAAGAACTTTTGGATTTTGGACCTGGAGTTGACTTAAGACTTTTGCTATGACATGATGGGGTGAATGTGTTTTAATGTGGCAAGGACATGAATTTTTGGAGGCCAAAGGGTGGGATGTCATTGATTGAATTCTGTCCCCTAAATATATGTGTATCAATTTGGCTAGGCCATGACACCCAGTATTGTGTGACTGTCCACTATTTTGTCATCTGATATGATTTTTCTATGTGTTGTAAATCCCATCACTATGATATTAATGAGATGGATTAGTGGCAGTTTATGTTGATGAGATCTACAAGATTAGATTGTGTCTTAAGCCAATCTCTTTTGAGATATTAGACAAGTGAGCAGAGAGACAGGGACACATCATACCAGCAAGAAAGCAGTGCCGGGAGCAGAGCACATCCTTTGGACCTGGGGTTCCTGCGCGGAGAGGCTCCTAGTCCAAGGGAAGATTGATGACAAGGACCTTACTCCAGAGCCAACAGAAAGAGAAAGCCTTCCCCTGGAGCTGACACCCTGAATTCGGACTTCTACCCTACCAGACTGTGAGAATAAACTTCTCTTTGTTAAAGCCATCCACTTGTGGCATTTCTGTTACAGCAGCACTAGATAACCCAGACACCAAGGCTGTGATCTTTACGGAAGCAGACTGCCATATCTTTCTCCTGTGATCTTTATGGAAGCAGACTGCCACATCTTTCTTCCGAGGAGCAGGTGGTGGGTTTAAACTACCAACCTTTTGGTTAGCATCCAAGTGCTTAACCACTGAGCCACCAGGGCTCCTTTATCTTCACCCATAGCTCCATATTTTCATTGTAATTGTCTGTCTGCACATCTGGCCCTCCACTTGACTGTGAGCTCTCAGGTTGTCAATACTTGTTGACTGGACTTATGAATTAAATGAGTAGATGGAATATGGACTTGAAGGAGGTTGGTTTAAAGATACAGATTTGGAGACATTGGTGTGTGGGTCACTGACTCACTCATGAGGAAAAATATGTCCCCAGGGAGAGCACAGCAGGCCACAACTTAAGAACACTGAGACGAGAACGGAGGAAAAAGAGAGGACAGACTCTCAAAAAAAGTAAGAAAGAGCAGTCCAAAAAGCACGGGGAGAATGAAAGGTGCAGAATCCCAGAGGGCAAGGCAGAAAAGTTTCAAGAAACAGGGAATGGTTGACATTGAGCTAGTCCTTTACAGTGGAAAATAATTATTGCATCATATAGATGGAAGTTTTGATAAAAATCTTACGAAGTTATGCAGAGGAAGCAATATGACATGGATATAAGAAATAGTTTTGTCTCACTTACAGAGATAAATGTTAAGTCTTACTGTTATTGTTTCCAAAACTTCAAACATCAGATTTTGCTAGTCCAGGGCTTTCTTTGCCAGGCTGTCTGAAAAGCTTGTTTTTCTCTTACTCATTTTTCTTACATAGAGTTCAGCTTCAATACAGAGCAACTCTCTGAATGCCAAGGCAGAAGATTTCTTCAGTCTGGGTGTTCCAGACACACAGAGATGTCAACTCAACCAGACTTAAGTTCTTACAGGACAGACATCAGGGCCTTGCACGTAAAATAAACATGAAAATGTCCGGAAACAATGACTGCATGACTTATAGTTGAACGTGGAAGTTGGGCCATCCAGCATTATTGCAGTTCCCATCTCACCCAATACGGAACCCATGGCAGACAGCGCTAATCGACTGTGGCACCTTCCCAGCTGAGCCAGCACAAGTCCACAGGCACAGCAAGCAGCCCGTTACCAAGTGGTCAGAGTTGGCCCAGGTGAAATTTCATCATTCTCAATGGACACTTGAGCTGTCACACCTCCCTGCTGATCTCTGCAGGGTACGAAGACAGCAGAGCAAGGGGACAATGAGCAAGCAGAAACCAAGGAGAAAAACTGTGACTTCACCCTTCTGCTTTACTGTCTAGGTCATCCTTCTACTGCCAGGTGTTACCTCTCTAATGGTGAGTAAACGTTTTCTTAAGCTGCTAATTTCACACACGCATACAAATGCTGTCATGTCAGATGAAGACAGAGAACTGAATTATAACATACAACAATAGAGGATTCCAGACCTCTGTTGTACGCAGGGTCGCTATGAGCCGGAACCGACTCACAGCACCTAATGACAACAATTGCTTGCTGACCACCTCTGGTTAGACACCCTTTGTCGGACTGCTCTGTGAAACCTGGGGTTTAGCTATACCCTGCTTTTTAGAAAGAGAAATCTGGCAGCAGTCTATTCACATCATATTCCCGTTTAACAATCCTTATCTGTTTTCTCATTGTCTACCTATAACAGAGTAAAATCCAAACTTTCTGGCATAACTTCTGCTGTTGTTGTGTGC